TTTGCTTCTACAACGTCATGGTTCAGAATTGACAGCAGAAGCTTTTTATTCCGCACTTATTTTCTTTGTTCAACGTTTTATTAAAACATTTCTCAAAAGGATTACTCTCAGAACTTTTGTTAAATTTCAATGCATATTCATTACAGTCATTCAACTACGTGATAGGCAATTCTCTCCCAAATGCCATTGTGAACAGATTTTTTCTTCTCACTGTATTTTGAGAAGATTTTGAGTAACTATTTCACGGTAAACTACCACGTCTTTAAAGGTGTCAAGACATTTTTGTAAAAAAATACCGCATTGCAGCTTGACATAAAATTCAACTGTGGAATCATTTCTTTATTTTTATTTTTGCTATCTGTAATGAAGAAATGGAAAGAAAAGCAACGCTAAATGTGCGTTTTCTGATATCAAAATCAATTTTAAGATTCAACAATCGATAGAAAACATAAATTTATCTTGTTCACATGTAATTATTAAATCTCTTTAGACATTTACTCAACTAAAAGGAAACATGTGTTTATTAATTGACATACTATTCTGTCTCCTTTTTAAATAAATATTATATCGGTTCCTCAAACTGTGCAATGATCTTCCTTCCACAATCTAGAAAAATTTAGATCAGACAAATGATATCAAAGAGAGAATCCCGTTTAAGAAATATTCTTCAATTCATTACATGTTCTCTTTCCATGTTTTTCCAAAATTCATTTGAAAATACTTTTCTTTCATTTTCTTTTACATACTTAACAATCTTTTTATCTTCCTCAGCTATGTACAACTATAGAAAAAAAATTTTTTGACACCATTTATGATCGTAATAATTTCCTTAACAATTGAATTTTTAACTAGTTATCTAACTCGAAACAGTCGAGTGAATAAATGATCATTCAAAATGAATAAGTAACAAAAACCATAGATTTATTTAAAAATATGCATTGATGAGATTGATTTTTTTTTCCATGTAATTGTAAAAGTCTTCACAAGGAAATAATACAATGTCCGTGGTGAATTTTCATTTTATGTAATCGCTCCCATAGCCCCGCCTCGGGGGTCATGTTCGTGGCGCCGTCAATTTGGTAAGAAATTGTCTTTGCCGATTAAATCAACAAATCTTCGGTCAGTGAATTAAGGAAGTAAAAAAGTTTTAGCATAGCCATACAGCGAGTCAACTACACAAATCACGATGGTTGAAGTTAGTGCTTATTGATATAGTTTGGATACTGCTGGGGCTGGTTCTACGAAAGCCGTTTAAAATAAACGACGTATAGCCGTCAAAATTTAAATCGCCCTCTACCGTCAAAACTTTAAACGCTAAAAAATTGCGTTGTACGAAGCCCGTTTAACTTCATCCCCCGGTTAAACTTTGCCTATCGGCTGAACAAAGTTAAATGGTCTCATGAGATTGTGTAAGTTGCTAAACGGCGGATAAAGCGTTGTTGTCTTGTAGTTTTTTTTTATATATTGGTTTTAGATTACATGGCATTCATGTCTACGCTCTCCCAGAGGTAAATAGACCCGCTGATAGAATTCACACACGTAAAATACGATGTGAAGTAGACGAGCAGCGTTTCAACGTACTACAGTGACAACGAGTAACGAGTTGCATGAACGCTGTTGCTTCAGTCAAAAAACTACTGGCTATATATAACACGTCTTGTCGAAAACCATGTCCAACCAAAAGGAGTAGAGTAAAAAAACAAGTTACCGCCTTCTTGTAAGACTTATATAAACTTTGAATCGCATTCTGTATTTAATATGAAGATATCATGTCTTTTCGGGAGTTTCTTTACGCCATGTCGTGTTAAAAGCAAAGAAAGTCGACTAAATTGCAGTCAGCAAGCGTCTGGGAAGAAATATGCCTTCATAAAGCCAGAATCCTTTGCATCCGAAAACTTTTAGAAAGTGAAAAATTTATTGACTGTATTAAATATATTAAAAGTATAATTCTCGACTTTTCCCGCTTAGTTGCCTAGTGATTAAATAGCAAAAACTGGTTTTTGTCACTGTGCTATACTTAAACATTGAACTAAAAACATCTGGAACGAAAGCTCCTATAGTTTTCTATAATGATTAGCTTCGCCTAAATACTCCTAAATTTTGTCAACCTCCTTAAAATAATGACTTTTTTTTTCGGCGACCGATGTTTGTTTAGGCTTCTTGGTAAAAAAAAAAAAAAGATTTATTTTCGTATTTCTACACATTTTGTCTTTTGAAATTGCATCTTGCAGAATCAGTTAGTGCAACAGCAAGACATTTTTAGGAGAAACATTTTCAGCACGGAACGAGGAAGAACGATCGGCAAACAAATACAAGTCTACAAGACGGAACTGAATGTTTAAAAATATGAATGCTATATAAAACATCTTTGAATGTTTTATATGAGCTTTTTCTAGTATGATTCATGTCCTTTTACGTTTTATCAATGTTCCAGTGATATTATTTGTTTGATGACACACAATTTTTCCTTGTTCATTTAATTATTGTTTTTGTATCCTCTACCAATATGTACAGTAATTTCGATAATTCCTTTATGGCTAAGAATGCTTTTTAAGTTTATATATCATTACTATTTCGAGCTACGGTCTAGTTACAATATTTTTATAGAAGAAATACTAATGACCATGCACTTGCTTCTTGTTGCAATATGCTATTTTAACGCTATTTCTTACTATAGCTAAACTTTCAAAATAATACAACAAAATAATTTGGTTTAGTTTTTGTGGGGTCTGTTCTGCTGAACTAAAAGATGAAATAAGATACTGTTGGAAGTGCCGAGCTGACCAAACAAAAATTTGTCCACTTTCAAGTTGTGAGCCCTCAACGAGTAGTGTTTGTGGAGATAAACGGAATACACCTGCAGATGGTGTAACCCAGCTGTCATTTGGCAGGCCTCAGAATGCGAGTAAAGTACTCACATTTGAGCAGTTTATGAAAAAGAAAACAAGCAAAGAGAACTGTGCACATTTTCGATCAACTAAGAAAGCTTAATCTGACCTAAATGAAGACGTAACAGTATTTATTGGACTAAAGAGGTTTAAAGATGTTTCCCTCAAAAGGGAAAAAGGGGAAAGGCTCCCAATTCGTGTTCGAAAATCAGCTCCATACAAGATAATATTGCAAAAAGCCATTGAAGAAATGACAGCATTTCATAGATCTTTTGATGGAAAGGAAAGATATGAGTTTTTGTTTGAAGACAGAAGCTGTGCACTTTTCATGTCTGGTTCAAAAAATTTTTGTTGAACTGGAAAAGTACAAGTTTGAAATTGGAAGAGATTATAAAAGCATAACTTTATATTTGTGCACTCAGTTTGACTTTGATCTGAAAGAAGGCGTAACTCATACCTCAAATGAGTCTGATGAATCAACTGATGAGGAATATCATCATCACTTCAATTTGCATACAGAATTAATTTCAGAATATAATGGATCCACAATTTGCAAGACAAAGGCAAGTGTAGTTGAATCTGCTACATGCACTAGATGAAGATATAGCTAGGCAGTTGCAACTGCAATGGAATTAAGAAATTGAGTTTGCTTAACATCCAAATCTCTTGATTCAGAAAACTTAAAAATCATCGCGAATGCAAACTGTTCCATGATAAATGATAAACACGATGTCATAAATGCTCTCTCTTCGAAAGTAAATGATAGTGACCAGTTTTTTATAACTACACAAAGAAAGGCAGACCTCTCAAGAAATTTTTCACTTTGACAGCGTCAATCAAAGAAAAAGTTACCGACCAATAGAATAATAGTAAAGTACTGTGGAGAAGCGAGAGTCGATTCTGGAGCCATTGCAAAAGAATTCCTCTCAGATAAAGTTGCAAACATATCAACAAATCCATCTGAAACTGGTGTTCCTATTAACTCCACATTTCATGTCCAAAATGGAGACTTTCGCACAAGCTGTGAGATAGCTGCTGCATCTTTTGCACATAGTGGGCCACCACCATGCTTCTTGGAAGAATGTGCCTACAGTTGCATCTTTGCTGAAATTGATTTGACCAAAGTTGATGATAAATATATAACTGAATAAGAAAAACAAAAACTTTATGATATTAGACTTGATTGTACTACGTACCGTGATTTTATTTTGGATAATGGCTACACTTGGAGATATGATTATGAAAAATCCAGATGCTTGCCATTCTCTTTTTGTGAAAAAATTTTGTGCTGATAAGGTTCCTGATGCAGATTATCTTTTTTCTTTGGTTGAACCTGTGTTTTCAGAGGAAGGATTTTCAAGGCGAGCCTTGTAACACACTATAGTGGACAACCTTCAAGATTTTTTAATTTCACTAGAGGACACATTAGAACCAGGATATTCAACAGCAGTTGCTTGGAAATATGATGAAGAAGAGAATGCTAACACGAACACAAAAGAAATATTTGAAATGCCAGAAATGTCTGTAAAAAGTATTATGGGATGGCTCACTGGCCAAAGACATAAACATATTCTACCTAAAGAGAAAATCCGTCAGAATTCTAGGAAATATTTGGTCCAGGATTCCAGTAAATCATTCTCTTAAAACTGCGTCTAGATCTTTCTTGAACTCCTTCTGGATCAAGCCCTCTTAACAATCCTGGAACAACGTCTCTAGGTACAGTTATTCCCTTCATTTGAAGGGCATGCCATATTAAACGATAACCTCGGCAACCTCCTGGAACGTCTACTTCCGCACGAATTGCACCACGTACAACGTCCATATCATAATTGCTGTTTTTTCGTCGAAGACCAAAATGTTTTCTTTTTGCTTTAATGTACTCATGCTAACCGGCTTACCGTGATATTTTCTTATGAAGTTAACAATTTCTTTGTATTGAAATCTTTTTAGGAAATAATAACGTATGATCTCTTCCTCGCTGCTTTGTTCAAGATTTTCATGGTCATCGACATCGTATTCTTCAATGTTTTCCCATTTTATATTTTTTATACTATAAGTCAATGGTATAACTTCCTTCACTTTGCTTCCGCCGTAAGAATTTCAAATGTTGCCGTGAGTTTTTAAATGTTGATGTGAGTTTTTAATTGTTGCCGTGAGTTTTTAAATAGTTGCCGTGGGCTTTTGAAATGTTGTTGTTAATTTATAAAAGTTGCTGTGCATTTGTAATGTTGCCATATATTTTGAATGTTGTCTAGCTAACATCGCTGACGTAAGTTGCCGTGACACTTATAGGCCACCGTACTTTTACTTCCACATCGTAAGTATTGACTCAAAAAGTACTTTATTCAATATATTTTGATTCGCTGAGTTGATTTTACTAAAATAAATTTAAGTTGAAGTTTTTTTAGGTCAGAAACCTTACGACAGATTACTATAATCTAAACTACGTGATGGCTTGAATATTTAATTAACGTACCGGTCTTTTTATCTGTTTAATGTAGTCTTTGTTCAGCCGTAGTAAGTAAAGTAAAAACTACTTTATTCGATATATTTCGAGGAAAGGAAGCGATTTGTAGTAAAACAAATTTAAATTGAAGGTTTTAAAGCAAGATATTTGACAATAGAGTTTTAATATTACACTACACGAGCTACATGTGGTCTGTTTACATCAAGAACACGCAAAGTTCTATTTGATTGTTTTAAACGAAACGCACCGTCTTGATGTAGTTTCATGTCTATGCTAATCTACTTAATAACAACGACTATATAATATACTAGGAAGTTATCTCATCTATGAAGCGGACTACACGATCTTTATATTTCAAACATTTCTGTATGAACGTTTGCTCGTTAAGACATTTACGGACAAATCTGCGACGTCTAATACATCGTGAAACAAATTTTTTAAGTTTATCATTCCAATCAGTGGGCATGCAAATCTCGGACCGGGCATTATCCTGAATATTTTCACTAAAACGCCTGGCTCCATCAGAACCTTGATCATGGGCATGCTCCGTGCTTGGTGTGGAAACCTCCGACTCCAAACTTGTTGAGGCAGATGATACGACCTCAAGCTCCTCGTGCATTGCTGCTTCGGAGGGTGAAACATTGGGTTCAGAGGCATCGGATGTTACATGTGTGATAACAGCTGGGTAAGGACTAGAAGGCAGGACTTCATTACCACGTAGTTCTTCTTCTTCAGCGCTAGTGCTGGTACGGTTGGCGATAACATCCTCTACGTTCCTGGACATATTAACTAGACGTAGTTCTCGATGTGTACGTAGATCTTGATCACGTCGTCTCTCAATATTGGCTTGAGCAGCTCGCGCTTCTCTGTTTTCTTCGCTTTTCGTCCTGCGCGCTGTTTCGGTTTCATCCTTAAATTTTTCTTCGTATATATTGAATGTAGGCAGCTTTTCTAAAAATTTTTTCCCGTAAGAAAAAGGCTGTGTATTATTTTTATGGAAATAATGCACGACCATGCTACTTGCGATCGCGTTAAAAAGATCCAACAAATATTTTAGTTGTACGTCGCTCTCCATTTTCTTGAATTCCGTCATCATTTCATTCACCCGGCGATTCAAGTCGGGTTTCCTTTTAACCATTTTCTCGTCGGTGGTATCTGGCACTGGAGAATACATCTTTGCTTCAAGGTTTCAACGCCACCCAAAGGCTATCTAACTGCGTAGTGATGTAGCAGGTATCACGGCTAGAAATTCGACGACAGAACGCGATGTCTTGAATATTCAATTAACAGTTATGTTTTTACCTCTGTTTAAAGATCCTTTGGTTCGCTGCATTAAATAAACTTGACAACAGAAACATTGCTACGTGTAGAGACGAATATTTAATTACTATATTCAAATTACGTGTTAACCCATGTTCTTTCTGTTTCAAATTCTGACAATTTACTTTAGTAAATGCAATAAAAACAACTTTATTTCATTTATTTTGAGGAGTTGAATCGATTTCTAGCAAAGTAAATTTCGTATGAAGCTTGACAAGGTCTTTTTCGCATAATAGAACTCTAGCGTATGCACGAACACTTCACATGCAAGGAAGGCGGAAAATTCCAGTAAAATAACAAGATGTCTAATCACGCGTCCGACCGATGTAAAATTAAATTAAAAGCGAGGGCACACAGTTCAACAATACATTCGATATAAGTTCTTGGTTTATTACACAGTGTCAGACGAAAACAAAGAAAGACTACGTACAAAGAGAGAAGCAAAGGAATCGTTTTTGGAAATAAATGTAAGTTTGTTTCGATTATTTTATTATAATGAAGGTCCGTTTGGTTAGTGGTGTCGACATCTTCGTCACTGGTATTTTTAATGCCATCTTCTTTATCCTCGGACGGTTCACTTTCACACAGGTCTCTAGATGATAGCCTCCTCGGTAGTGCATATGCTTTAGTCCGTCGACAGGGAAAAAAGGAGTCGAACACGTTCGTGTACTTAATGAAATTCCATTCTATCGAAGTTGGCTTGGCCGAAAGATTTTTCCATAAGCGGCCAACAATCATTCAGCTTGGGATGACCGCGAATTCGTACTTTGACAGCCGTTATGTAGATAGTTTTGTAGATAGGTAAAAAAAAAACCCCTTCAAAATCAGTAAAGTATACGATAAAATTTTAACGATGAACAACTAAGCGTTCAAAAAGGGTTGCCCTATGTTTCTGCAAGTTGCGCCATATGACAGTTTCCCATACTCGGTTTGTTCCATTGAGCTCTATAAAACCTGGAGGGGCAAAGGGGCCTGGACCCCGTGGTCAAAAACATGGCGGTAATGGCTGATTTTGGTGGTCAAAACTTCCACTTTAAAAGTTTTTTTCAATATTCACTCCCTCCTGATTTCTAATACTGTTTGTATGAACGAAAACAAGTAAGAAAAAAAACAATTACGATACCGACAGCATATCATGTGAAAATAATGCTTCAGCATTGCGTGAAATACACAGTACAGACACACATCAAAGTAAAGAAAATCAACGGTAGAGGAAAGCATATTATGGATGTAACATTTAAATTATTTTATGACATTTTAGCCTTTTAAAAGTGAAAATCAAACGCCATTAGTAGACCTGTCAATCTCGTCAAACTTATACATTATTTCATGCTTCTGTGTGTTTGACTGTTTGTAAACAGTTTGGTACAACTATTTTTCTTGCTTCAAATGGATAAATCTGTGTAAAAATGCTCCTAAGGAAGCGAGAAAATGTTTGCTTCAGTCCTACGACATAAGTCAACTGAAAGTTTACCATGGATAAGTATCATATGTGTATTGTCATTACCTGATAAATCTACTGAAAACTCATAAAGAAAATATGTTGAACTAGAAGAGCTACAAAAAAGAAAAAAATTCAAAACACCATGATACTATTGCTTGGTAATTTGTAAACAGCTTGGCAGAATCTTGGATCTATTACTGAACAGAACTACATTAATTTTCCATTGAAATTACAAACTTGGAAACTAAAGTGCTTTGGTTTCTTTGACAAAAACACTGTCTATTGCTGCATGAAGGCAAAATGGTTATTTGACAGTGTATGTGAAGAAATTTATCAAGTTCTATAAATATTATTGTCATTACTTACAGTTTTTTGGAATTGTGTAATATATGTCATGAGCAAGATATAATTTTTCAAAAATGCTAACCCCTTCAAGCACTACTACTCTTCTGTTTTGCTTAAACAACTTACAGCTACCAATACTAATTATTTATATGTACAAACTAACATTTGGGAATTAAATGATAAACAACTTGTTAAATCTTTGTATTTTCCATCAAGCCTTTGAATTAGTTCCTTTTATCTCTTGGTAAAAAAATATTAATGAAAGACTTACAAATCAAGTTTCTCGAAAATAGTATTTTGTACAAAGAAACTAAATAATTGGAAAGGTCACATGTTGAAGACAGACTTTGCTTCTTTGACTAGGTTGCTTGACCATGAGCAACTTTAAATTTGTTTACAATTTGTTTAAAGAATTCTTTTTATTGATTTCTACTAATTCTTCATAAGACACAAAGAATTTCTTTGCCATCAATTTTTGCTTCTTCTACAATCAACTTCATTGTAACCAATGCATCCGATGTGAATTTGTGGATCACCTGGAATCATACCAAGGATGGATTTAATGAGATAAGATAATAATATATTTAATTTTTCATTCATATTAATGATATAATCATAAGCTATTGTTGAACAAAAATTTTAAGGTAGAAACAAATCTTAGCACATTGTTCAACACACTACTTTCATCTTGGTTTTGAAGTATTAACCTGTTTACTATAACAATAAATACTTCATTTACAGAAACGCTAAGTAGTACTTTAAAATTGTTTGCATAAATCCAACTTTCTAATCTCATTATAATTGTCTACACTATACAGTCAGTCAAATTGAGCAGGAAAACAGTTTAATAGTTATTTTTATTGTATAACATATACCATAGTTCTCAATAATTTTTCATGGCACTGCATTCAATTTCAACACAACTCTGTTGTAAACTTTCCCTTCATCTTTTCAAAAAAAACATGAACAAATTATGCCCCATGTTTGGGAGGTAAACTCAATTCAAATCAGGAGAGTTTAGCTTGATGCCTTGATCATGATACAAGATGGATGCAAAACTCGATAAAAATTGACAGCTTCGCCACGTCTGACGAGCGATTAAGTGAAGAACAAACAAGACTGGACCAAAATAACTTTAAATTAAAACTTAGTAGTAGAAACACTCTTCAAGTATCGTGTTAAAAACAAAATAGTAAAACTAATACTGTGCTACTTACCGGAGTCAAGAAATGTTCCCTTTTTTTTTCGCTATTTCAGCATCCGCAAACCACAGAAGTTGGCAGTTTAATAAATAAAGTTTTTAAAAAGTGTTTATGTTAGGAAAATAAATAGTTTTGATATTTTCTATACTTGCAATCGTGGCGGTCAAATCAGGGTGGGCGACAAAAATTTTATTTCATGAGCCCGCGTCTCTCCGCTGACTTTGACCACCAAAATCCGCCATGTTTTTGACCACGCGGCCGCGCGCTAATAATTTATACTAATTTTGTTGACGTTTCCCCTCCAGTTATTATAGAACTCAATGGTTTGTTCCTATATTATACAAGTAATTGACTTAGCGTGCAAAATATTTAAGAATTTCACACCACATAATATACGTCAGCAGATCGACGACAAGCGTGCAAGGCTGCAGATCGAAAAGCACTTCAAGGCACTCGAGAGAAACCGTTACTGTCTAACGTTGAAAGATTGCGCGATTATTTTGATTTTATCAATTAAATACATTGTAAAGTTCAAGTATGTATTATTATTCAAATGCACACGCGTCATAAAGTTCAAGTGACTACAGTATGCAAATATAGACGCGTTAAAATTAGTCTAAAAAGGCCGGGTTTTCCATTTATTTATACTGTGGAACGCATACAAAACGTGAGGGGCTACAAAAGGAATTTGAAGTTATTGAGAAAGAAGACCGTATTCATAGAAGTGTTGTGTTCTCTAAAGAAATTGTCCTGTTTCCCACAGCATATAACCTGTCTAAAATATATAAATATTTGTCGCTAATATATCGCTCCTTGAGGCCTCTGAGACGAAGAAAATTCATGGGGCACACGAATGTCATTGTGACTCAATAGTTAACTAATATGTAGACATATCATCGCAGGCTCATAATTTTTATTATAAATTGTAATATGTGTCAAAAAATCGTTCGTTATTGAGATAGTCAGCTGCGATAAATATAAAAAGAGAGGGTGAACCTGTAAGGATATACATATATATATATTAAAAACAAGTGAAATGAAAAAAAAGATAGATATAAAACCAATATATTTCATAAAAAGATTTATTTTACTATACAGTAGAACTATACAAACACAATATTACAATGATGAAAGTGCAAAGTCCAATTTTTAAATGATATTATGGGAACTCCAAAGTCCAATTTTATAATGATAGAAACTTTTCTTTATAATCATCATCAATTCTATATCCATATCACTAAATCCTGTAAAAAAGTATATCTGTTCAATATGTAATTGCAATAATGTTAATAAGAGTACTTAAATGTCCTTACCAATAAATCCAGATGAAATTAATCACAAAGACAACTATTACTGGAATGATTAAAAGCCATTATTAATTTATGAAAACAAAAAACAAACCCAAGATGAAGAAGAGTTATTATGAATTTTTTTTTACTTTTCACAAACCAATAAAATTTAACAAAACAAAAAATGACATAATTCTACTTTTGAAAGACATCCTCTCTCTTCAAATGACTGAATACTTTATGATAGAAGTATCTCTATAAAATGTGTATAAATAGAGAGATAATTGTAAAAAATGAAATTTCTTGTAAAAAATTGAAAAGAAATAAATTAAAAAATGTAAAAAATGAACGAAAATTTTAAATAAATTGCAAAACAATTTTATCCAATAAAAAACAATAAATTACATGTTTTTACAATTTAAAATGTTATATCGTAAAATTTTTAAAACAAAGGATAACGAAATGTTTGTGGTATTTAAGTATATTAAAAGTATTCTTATTTGTTTGTTCTAATATATCATTTTTTTCAAGTGACTTCTCGTGGATTTTAGTATTTTCTCTTTCCATTTTTATTACCATTTCAATTTTTTCTTTCATTTCTTTGTGAAGTAAAAAGTTCGTTGTTTTAATGAATGTAGATAATTTGAGTAGTCTTTTTTTTATTCACCATCTTTATTCAATTTTTATTTCTTCTATTTGTTTTTTAACTTCAATGAATTTAATTTCTTTTTTATTTCTTTTTGTAATTCCTTGTTTTCTTTACAACAAAAGTTTGCATGAAAATAAATACATTCTGATGGAGTTTTTAAATAAAATATAACTTACTGTATAGTTTATTTTTTATATTTTATTTTTCTTTCATTCAATAAAATTAATTTCTTCTTCAATAGTTTTTTATTTCTTTCTTTTCTTTACAGCTAACATGTGAATGACGACAAACACACGCCATGGAGTTATTGGTAATGATGCACTATATAGCATTTTTATTTGATGTCCTTGACATTGTTTACAATAGAAACAATATATACACAACAATTTTCTATAATTTTTATATGTAACAGTATTTTTATTTTAGTTCATTTTTGTGAACAACCAAAATAAATCAAATTACTCATAAAAAATCATATAATAATGTGTTTTTTCTTTTATTACTTCTTTAAATTTCTTTTTTGTATGTCCTTCTATTTCTTTTTCTATTTTCTTCTTCTTCTTTTATTAATTTAATTTCTTCTTCCATTATTTCTTTAATTGTTCTTTTTCTTCACGGCAAACGTTTACATGATAGTGAATACTCTCTGCTAGAGTTGGTGCAAATATTTTTTTATAATGCAAATTAAGTTCGCAATGAAAACACAATCCGCAATAAAAGTAATATTTATAAAATAACTTGGTGTATAGTTTACTGATCAAAGTATACGTCATATTGATTTTAAGTGTTTTTATCTTTTCTATATTAAATATCTGAAAAAAAGATATTTTATGTAATTAAGATGTTTTTTGTTTAGTTTCTATTTCCTTAAGTTCTTTCTTGTATAATTTTTTATTTTCTTTTAATTTTTTCTTCTGTTTCTTTTCCTTTACGGCGAATATCTGCGTGATACCTGATAGATTCTGCTTGTGTTAATGATGCACGACCAAAACAAAATAATTTAATTCCATGACTTTGACATAATGGACAATTAAAACAATATTTATAAAGTAATTTGTTGTATAGTTTATAGGTGTGATCATATGGCATATAGATTTTAATTATTTCTCCTATTGTAATTAAAATCCAATTTCTTTATTATTTTATCAAGCAGTTCAATTTTTTTGCAAAGTGTTCTATTACTTCTTTGTTATCTTTGCAGCAAACGTTAGCATGAAAATGAATAAGCTGAAATTCAGTTGGTATTTGATATGAATTATGGAGAATTTTATATTAATATTTTGGGCAAGCTCTACAAGAAAGGCAATAGTTAAAAAATAGTTTTCTTTATATAGCAATTATATTAGCAAAAGACCTTTTGACCTGATCTTTTATTAGTAATTAAAAAAATAGTAAAGTTACATTTTTACATACTTTTGCAGTAGCATAAAGTGTTTTTTTCATTTTTCCATTTTTTTAATTCTTTATTTAATTTTTTTGTATTTTGTTTTTTTATTAATAATAATAAATTCATTAAATAGATTTTAATTATATATTTATAAAAAGATGTCTCGACAACAAACAAAGCAACAACCTCGACTTAGACATCGAGTCTCCTGACACGACGATCTCGACCAATACAAAACGGAAATTCTAAAATAACAACTCTATACTTCAATGTACCATATATCGGACATTACTCACGACACACACAACGCACACTTAAAAACATTATAAAACGCTTCTGTACAGGTATAGACATTCTACTAATTTTCACATCATTCAAAATCAAAAACATTTTCTTATTCAAAGACCCAATCCCTGATTCGATTAAATCTATGGTGGTAAAAGAACTTAATTGCGCGGGATGTAATTCCCGATACACTGACGAAACTTCGCGTTATTTATCCACCAGAATCAGGGACATACCACAACAGACAAAAACTCTCATATCTACCGACACCTTCTTTAATCTCACTCATGTAAAACCAACTATTCACCTTCTTGCCTCAAAATCATCGACACTGCCGACACCTCATTCTCCCTTAAAATCAAAAAAGCACTCCACATTAACAAAACTAATCCTGACCTCCTTGGTTCATTTACAAACAAAATTGAATAATCCAACAGTTGATCTTCATATTTTGTTGTGTAATGACAGGTGCAATGAAAAGAATAACTTTAGGTACATCCCACTCATTAATTTCTTAAGCAAAGTTTGTTGTTTTTATCAAAATCTGAAGAAGTTTATATAATATCCTTTTTTTTGTAAATGAAGTAAAACTATTTACCAAAAACTCAAATGAGACATTTTCTTTAAAGAGCAGACAGTTTTCTGTGTGCCTAATGCTTCTCTTGCATCCTTTCAAAATCTTCTTATGCAACATGTATTGAATTCATTCAGAAATTATTCCTGATATTGAACGAATTATTGATAATGTGCTGAAGGTAATATCTGTTTAAAATTTGCTTTATGTTTTATTGATACGTTACTTTAAAAGTATCAGACAACGCAACTGCCTACCGTATTGCTTTATTGTTGAAAAAAATGACAGACAGCGCTACTTTCCATGCCATGAATAACATTATTGCTTTACACTATAAATACTAAAGAGCCTTGACATTTGTTAGTTTGGACAAAAAAAACTAAAAAACGAAGGCTTTAATCATTTTGTAAACCTGTAAAATTTGCTTTGAATGTGTTCCAAAAACCTGGAAATTGCAATTTGTACGGCGTCTGCCTTTTTATGACTGACGATTAAAAAATTCTGGATCAGCCCCTGGTAGTCAATTCACACATTGTCATGTGGCAAATATTTAAATGTTTTCACCAAAAGACTTTAAGTCACACAGTTTAATAATTTTCATGCAAAATATATGTATCAGACATTTTTCATATCTTCACAAAGGTTTATAATTCACGCGTTTTTTCACATTTTTACGCAAAAAATGTAATTTTCACATTTTTTCATATTTTTATCAAAAAACTATAATTCACGCTAAATAATTATTTTTGCATGAAAATGTGTTAAAATGTATGTATAAGAGTCATTGGGTGAAAATGTGTGATCGATTACAGTAATTTGATGACATATATTTTTGTCATGCCCTTTTTGTTTTCTTAAGCTTGTTTTAACAAATGCATATGAAACTCATCAACACGTAATGTCCGTGACAACGTTAAAAATGTTTTATATTTTTCTCTAAAACTTTGTATCTATACATTGCTTTTATCATATCCAAGCTTTCTTTGATTTGACGGACAATGGTTTTTATTCATTGTTACACCTTCTGCCTTTATAAGTAGTCTATCTGTATTTTTAAAATAAGATTTACAAATGCCCCAAGAGAATCTTTTTATTTTATTGGCTCTCTTCAACGAATACAATATTACGTCCGACTATTTGATTGAACGAATTTTTTAATTTGATCACGTTTTTTTGACACGTGTGTTTACCATCGGAAAGATGGATTAATTAGATGTATCTATTTGTTTAGACTAGTGTGATCCATAGTTATTCTTTAATGTGTACCCCTGTTAAACATCAATGAACATACGTAGTGTGTCTTATTTAACTTCCATTCTTGTTCTCCACTTCAACATGTATCCATATTTGTTCTTTTTTAGGTGTCAGCTCAACACAACCCTTGTCTGAAGTTCCTAAAACCTTGATCTACCCAAGAAAGATCTCTGGTGGTAACATGTTGGTTATGGCTAGTGGAGGGGCATCGTTATTTAAGCTTTGTGGCATCAGTTCAGTAGACCTTAATTGTCCTGAAGACGTTGAGGTGGTTTGCTAGTAAAGAGTCCCCAAAACCAGAAGTCCGTTTTCATGGTATGCTAACGGATTACGCAAAAGTTTTTGGCAAGAATTTCACATAAAATGGTTATGGTCTCGTTCCATCGTCTTCTGAGAAGATTTCATGTTCATCCTGTATCTTTCACCAATGTTACAATTACTTAGTTTTTTTATGTTTTTTGAAATTGTCGTTTTTATGACTATTATTTTAGAGCATAGACGTCAAAGAATCTTGTGATGGTACAGGTATTTTCATAATTTTTTTGTTGAAAAATTCTCTAGTTTCAATTCTTCAAAATTTTTCTTCTTAACTTGCATCTTTAATTTAGAATCTTTTCGATACGAGAAATCCTCGGGATTTGAGGTACTTTATACGATATATTCAATTTAAGTTTTCTTGCTTTAATAATTGTCATCTACCTATGGTAACTTTGCTATAATTGTATGGATAAATTATGTTTTTATAATTAATAGATTATTGGTGATCCTACTTCACTTGAGGATATTCAGCAAGAATGATGTATGAAGACAAATTTTGAAAACCAAAAAATCCCATTTTCGTTGCATGCATCCGGACACCCCGAGATAGTTGAGCACTAGTTGCGTCGCATGTTAACCAAGAGAACCACATAATCCTTGTTTGTTTGCCATGAAGCATATGGATGGTTTGCTCGTGATACATGACAAAAAGTAAATGGGTCAGTTAAATTAGGAAGATATAAACCGATAAAAATTGTTTAAAACATGTTTAAGGTTGTCTTTAATTATAAGTGTCAGAAAAAGACAAGGTCATAAGATGTTAATTCAAGTATTGCTTGATTTGTTTTATGAGAAGAAAACGAAAAGACAAAATTCGAAAGCAAAAAAACCCGTTTTCGGCCACGTTTCCTAACACCTTCTGATGTGTAAGGTGCTAGAACGCCGCATGTTGAAGTTTTGGTAGAAAATTTCCGCCCCTCCAAGCTATCATACTTGGGAGATGCCAATAGCAATCTTCCGTCTATCAGATCATGAGATCACCTGCGATTGGCTTTGCTCTGGGTACGCAGGGAGAGTGCGGTCACCTCCGAAGTGTGTGCGCTTAAGCCACTGCATCCACTGCTAGTTGACATTTACTGTATGAAGTTTTACCTTTATATATATATACAAAAATTTAAAGGCTTACGAATGTTGTGGGATGATTGTTATCGTTACTGCGCATGCCAATTTGATTTCTTTTATAATTTGCGACTAATTGAGTTAATTGACACAAATGTAGTGAAAGTACATATAGTTGGTCGTTGTCATGACTGTGAACACTTATTTGAGTGGACTGCGCATGCTCGAGCGCATTCGCAGATTATTTCTTTATTAAATTGTTACTAAGCATGCTATTTACTTCAAAATTGGTGCTAGTAGATGCAGTTGCTTGTTGCCACAACCATGAACTTGGGTAGCTGGTCAAGTTGACTGCGCATGCTCAAGCAGTCTGCGCATGCACAGATAGATTGTCTTGAAATTTGTGATTGAGCGAGCTAATTACTCCAAAATCGGTACTAGTAAATCCAGTTGGTCGTTACCATGAGCTTGAAGAGTTTGTGGAGTTGACAACGCATGCTCATATTCTCAAATAATTTGTGACAGAGCGAGCTCTGAAATTGGTGCTTGTAGATGGGCTATCATTTTTTCAAATTGGCAGATATATTTGCGAAATCTCGAATTGGTTTTCTTTACAAAATATGTTTTCCCGATAAAATATTTATAGTATAAACATATTTGAACTGAAACATTTTTGATTTTACTAAGCAGCAATATGTTACAGCTACACATATATAAATATTGTTTACTTATAAAAAAAGAAAGTGCAACATTCTTAACCCAGTCTTTTGAAAAAAAATATTAAAATATATACTGTGTGTATAAACAAAAAATGACTTGGGAAAAACAAACACGAAGAATAAGTAGGAAAAAGTCGACGGAAAGTTTATGTTTCCATGTGGCAAGATTATGAGGTGTTAGTACTTCTTGCAACAATCACATGCCTTAACATTCGACAATGTTAAGAAATATACGTCAAAATTGTCACCACTGAAAAAATTTTAGGAGTTTCTACTTTTAATGTTTACATTAGGAACTTTGTGTTTGAAGCGTAGGAGTAGGCGGAAAAAACCTCAATTGACAATAACTACGTAATCGTAGGTGTATCGAGATCACGGAACTTTGAACAATTATTTCAAGACGTAAAAAAATCCCAATATAGAACAGTAAAAAGGAAATAATCACACATCGACAGAGGGAAGTTGATATTGTCTTTGCTAGTAAGGACATATTGCAAGAAATTAGATTCTAAATTAACTTCCACATTTATCCAAATGTAAATAAATTTTTTTCAGTTTCTTGCTTATTTTATATTATTATGAAATTAATGTAGTGAAGCAACATTAAATCGACTTGAAATGTGGTTATATAGAGCACTAAATGAATGAGATTTATTCTGTATTTGTATTTTATCATTTGGACTAAAGTCAGAAAGCGTGTAATTTGAAATGGCAATCAACTGCACAGGAAGTGGGAGGTAAAGGTTGACTTTCAAGTGTCCTTGAAATTTGCGAAATTCAACTATAATTTTAATAACACCTATAATGTTTCTTTATAAATGCAAACACATTATTAAGTCGTATATTTCTGATGTTTCTTCATTTTTCGTTTAGTGTATTATTTTTGGTTCTTAAGTAATGACTTTATATAGTCATTTCTTAGATGCACTGCACATTAATAACAGGAAATGAAATGGTCTCCACCAAATTTTTAAACTTTTTACGTGTTAATGTACTGTACTTAGTGGGAGAGTTATTTTAATGTCAGTCAAGGACAGTAAAGCAATGTTCGCCGAATACTCGGCAAAGTCGGTGAGCAGTTTTATCATTTATTATTCAACATGAATTAAAAAACTGCACACCTAAAAATATTGGCGTGTGCTCTTATGCATACCAGTTACGTTTGATGTAAATGGAGAAACTCGCCCAAGAAAATACAAATTTCAGAAGTGCAAGAAGGAAGCACAGCCAGGGACGCCGTATCGTTAATTGGGAGAGGGGGCAAATATTCATCTATTCTTGGTCACAGCTTGTATAATAAAAAAAACTTATTCAACAAAAAATGCATTTAATAAAACCCAATTACTGATGTTTCTGCGTCCCTATGTCTATTTAAACTGAGGGAAGGGCAACTCAGCATGTCACATGAGTAAACATGTTCTCCCTTTGTAGCAAAACCTCATTGAGGTAGAGGTTACTGTCCCAAGGAAGTTGTCGCCTTCTTCAAGCATCGAAAGAGTTCCTTTCCCCGCAGTCAAGAATGCAAGACAAAATTCGATGTTGTTTTCATTTCTAACATTTTTGTTACATATTCATGTTATAAATTATAAACATTTTGTTTCACAGTAAAATTTTCTTCTCCATAACTGAAATTTTAACGAAATCTACAGATATTCACAAGACCCTTCTCGGCTTCCTGCTTTACAAAAACACTTTGGTTTTCTAGAGAGACAAACTAAATTCTTTTGGCTTTCGTTTGTTTGAAATATTTGCACTTCTAGGATGTACCGAAAAAAATTTACTGGTGATACAGCAATGATAGCATGAAGGTAGCAAAAAATGAAGGTTGGTTATAAAATAAAAAGCATTGTTTATGGTTTTTGAAGTGTTGTAGACAAAATGATGTGATAACTTTAGTTTTTTCAATCTTTGATCTAAAGCATATCTTTATGGCCAAACAATTGTGAAGCTCTTCAACAAAGTTTTGACGAATACGTAAAACTGTCAGACTATATATAGTTTTAACTTCTGATACATCCCAATTTAAACATGTTCCCTTCATACACTTGTTTTCTTGATTTATCAATGTGTAGTTTATGTCCAGCACAACTTTATTTGTAAAATAAACTTGAAGAGCTTTTAACCTGCTATATGCAATCATTTATTATGTTAAAACTTTATTCTGACAAACCATTCGTGTAATAATGTTCATCTTTCATTAGTTTAATGTTGAGCGCCAATTTTCTCATGGTCAGTGACGTGCTGGAGCTTCAAAAAGAACAACAAATATGCAGCATTTAAGAGGCCGATTTCACAAAAAAAAAAAATAAACTTGATATACTTTGCTTGAAACTTTTCCATAGAAATTGCTTTGATAAACTGACGTATCCAGAGTATTTTTTAACTTTCACAATTTTTAGTATTTGTGTAAAGGGATAAATGTGCAGGATATATGCTGTTAAATTCCTTTAAAGTCCATTGTTTTCAATGAATTATAGCATGCACGTACGAGCCCCCAATATAACAAATATCCTACGCTCATGTAAAGTGCCTACAACGATTTCTCGTTGTCTCGTCCATAGCCAGCACGCCCCTGCTCTCTGTTAGTTTTTTTAGTCAATCAAGCAAATTACATCAGATGTAATTTGAATGAGCAAGGTCAAAGTTATTCAGTCTCTTTTTTAACACTTGATGAAAGTCGTGGTAGTCGATTGAAACATTTCAATTGAGTTGTTTTGGGACTCTTTTAAACAACTTGGTTGACTATTTAGAAAAAGGCTATGTTTTTTAAAAATTATTAGATGTATTATAGAAAACTATTAAATTTTTGGTAGAATTATCTGCAGTTGTTTTCATCGAGTTTGCATGTTCATACTAAAATGACAAATGGCAACAATCAGCCTATCACAACATATTACCTGATGATGAATTTTGGGGCTGAGAGTGAAGTCAAGCGTTGTGCTAAGTTCACTTTAGTTAATGTTATTACTTATTTGTCTGAACGTGACAAAGTTCGAGTATTGAACGTTAGAAAAACTTATACGCACGAGACTTGCACTGAAATGGAAGAATTCGTTTTAAAGAATTTCATTGTATCAAAGAGCTTGATTGTAGATTTTTTATATGATCAGGAGATAAGTGTTCTGACTTGAAACTCATCTACGTCTACGTCTGTCTCTCGCTGTCACAACAAAGGAATTAGAGTCTTCTAACAGCCCGCAGTTTTTGTGCTATGAATACGCGAGATATTTTCTGAACTAAGGTAAAATATTGCACAGCTATTACTTGCCTAGTAACATGAAGATATCTTGATTTATGTCAAATAAACTTTCAAATGTAATAAACACTGGACCAGAACGTAATATTTTTAAGGTTTCTGTTATGAAATTTAAACGCGATACCTAGAAAATCGAGACACTAAAAACAGCCACGGAAATCCAAAATATTCCTACGAAACGGAGAACGTAGTAGAGTATAATAAAATATCACAGCACTAAAGTTTGCGACGAGAAATTATTTCTGAGAAAAGGGAGATAAATATAATCAGTTTGCCTTGTAACAGTATAAATCGAAATTAAGTAAGATGATTATAAATCAGGTTTATATTCCACTGAAGACAAATTGAATTTAAGAACTTGTTTACTTTGGACGTTTTTTGCTTTAAATTCAAATTTAAAATTGTGTTGATGTCGATACACTTCAAATTGCAGTTGCCAAGTTATTTTTGAATGTTGTCATTAAAAATTCAAATATGGAATGTTATGCACCTACGTTTTCATTGTGTGTATCAAAATACTGAATACTTAACTGTTATGGCATTTTTTTTTAATTTCAATGGTTTTAGATAGCGTATGAATTAGACCAATTCCTTTATTATTTCGATATCGTTGCCTGTTTTAAATATCTATTTACAAGAAGTTTGGAAAGGCCGCATGGCGACAAGTTTTCTTTAACTTAAAGTGCCTATGAAATGAAATTTGGCGAATTTTTTTTGTATTATCGAAAAATATCCTCTTTTCTGATCACAATGACACCAACCTTGTCCAGCAATTCAAACAAATGTAGGGAAATTTTAAGTTGAAAGTTGGACTACGTGAATATTTTCTGCTCAAAACCGCGCGCGGTCAAGAGGTCTTGATGAGTGCACCATTTTGTACATAGAAATATAATAAACATTGTGGCTTAGAATTGCGTTTTTGAGTGTGTTGAACCAAAATACAGGAATGTCTATGTTATAAAGTCTTGATACATAGTTTGAATCAGTTCAATTTATTACTAAACGAAGTTAGTTGCCAAATAAGAAACATATGTTGCAATTCTTTACAATTCATGCAACTACGTCCAGCGCAATAAGACCTACATGTATATAAACGTTCTAACATTACAAAAATCAATAAATATCGTCCTAAAATATTTTATATACTGGTTGTGGCTGTAATCACATATTTAGGAATTCTCGTATTACATTTAATCAAAAACCTACTCGATATAAGCTGGATACTCAAATACACTGAATAGATGTAATAATTACAAAATAGCAAAAAACATCACGATATTTTCCTTAACAATGATGATTTATATTAAATTGTATACCGACTTGTACCAGCACTGACAAAGTAAATATAATGTAATACAATATCCACCCAAGCATGCCGAATATCTGACTATCGGCACTATAGCTGCACGAATATATCTTAGAAATGAACATTAGAATTGCAGTTTCAATCTTGATGGTACGAATTTCGTAATTTATGTCGGAATATACGCAGTCTGTGGAATGAATAATAAAGTACATATGCACGCGGTAAAACCACAGAAAATATTTACTCATAAAAATTACCAAATACATAAAACAGATATATTCAAAAAAGCTGTTATCGGGCTCACTCCTCCTATATCCACAACCACATCCAGAGCAGCCACATCAAATTGTTGCGTTATTCTCGAAAATATACAAGTTGTTGGTAACAACGTAGAAATACTACGACGACAGATAACCTGATGTGCAAACGGCGACATGGCGACTTGAATTTATACACTTCCTTATCAGAATAACTCAACAATGTCATGTCATGTCATGTCAGTCCCGTGACATTTTCATGTCGTAGGGGTGTCATATTAGAGACTGCAGTCTGGGATCTCCATTGTCTTCGGTCTTCTGTCATTCTCAGCAATTTGTTTAGTGTGTGTCCAGTCCACTCTTTAACATTGTCGAACCAGGTTTTTCGTTGACGGCCTCTTCTACGTCCTTCTTCTACGGTTCCCAGGAGTATGGTCTCAGCCAAGGAATTGTGGCGATTAACATGGCCAAACCATGCAAGTTTCTGTTGCTTTACAATGGCTATGAGTTGTTGTTGTTTGCCTGCATCATCTTCAATTTGTTGCCTGACATACTTGTTGGTCTTGTGCTCTGAGTAATGGATGCCTAGTAGTTTTCTGTAGCACTTGTTCTCAAGTGCCTGGCTCCGCCTTTCAGTTTCTACATTCAACGTCCTGCTTTCACATCCATAGAAAAGAATGGAAATCACCAGTGATTTGTACAACTTGATCTTAACAGGGAGGCTGATGTTTGTGCTCTTCCAGATGGTGCCGAGTCTAGTCATTGCTGCTGTAGCTGTGCTAAGTCTTGTTTTGATCTTTTTTATTGAACTGCCATCCTTAGTGATGATGGACCCCAAGTATATGAAACTGTCTACCTCCTCTAAAGCTTGTCCATTCAATGTGATGTTGGTTGGTCCTTGCTTGCTGATGTTGTTGACAAGAGCCTTACTTTTCTCTGCACTGATTTCCATTCCAAAGGCTTTTGCTGCTTCTTCAAGTTTTGTAGTGAGGTCTTGAAGCTCTTCCTCGCACCTCTTATAAGGTCGATATCATCAGCGAATCGAAGATTGCTAAGTGGTCTACCATTTATTCTTATTGATGGATGGAATTCAGATAGTGTCTCTGTCATGATGTTTTCTAGGAAGATGTTGAACAGAACCGGAGAGAGCAGGCATCCTTGACGAACCCCAACTGTTGTCCTGAGTGATTGTTCAGTCTCGTTATTCAGAAGAACTACACTAGTTGATCCATCATAAAGAGCCTTTTTTTCATCAATAAGCCTGCTGTCGATGTTGTAATTCCTTAGGACTTTCCACAAGCCATCATGCCACACACGATCAAAACCCTTCTTAAAATCGATGAAGTTGTGAAACAGTTCGTGCTGGTGTTGCATTTGCTTCTCTATGAGAATTCTGATGTTGAATTTCTGCTCGACTATGCTTCTACTAGGTATGAATCCTGCTTGCTCTTCTGCAAGTATTTCTTCAACCTGTTTCTTCAGTCTATTTAGTACAACCCGAAGCATGACTTTACTTGGGTGGCTGATCAAGCCGATTGTTCTGTAATTCTGGCACTGTTTGAGATTGCCTTTTTTGGGTAGGGTATGATCAAAGATCGAGTCCACTCTTTTGGCCATTGCTTCTTTTCCCAGATCCTTTGGCAGATGGTGGTTAGAGCCTTTACAAGTTCAAGTCTCTTTAGCCTTCTTCCTTTTGTTTCTAATGTCTTTGTTGACTTTGGCATACTTCTGAGCGGCGGATGTATCTGTGGTCTTCTTCCTCTTGAGCTCTCTTCTGTTGTCACATAGGTCCAGGATGTCATTTGTGACCCAAGGCTTCTTCTTTTTCCTTCTCTTCCCAAGTACCTCTGTTGCTGTTTCTTGTAGCACTTCTTTCACATTGTCTGTGAGGTTGTTGATGTAATCTTCCAACAGATTGAGCACAGCAAATTTCCCTCCCAATGTTGCCTTGAACGTGGCAGCAATTGTTGGATCCTGTAATGTTTCCAGGTCAAATCTTATACGAGCGCTGTTAGGCTTGTAGTTCTTCTTTAGTCTGAGTCTTAGAGTCAGCAGCACCATATCATGATCACTACCAATTTCTGCTCCAGGGAAGGTTCTGGTCTTTGCTTTGTTAATGCTGGATTTGAATCTGCAGGAGAAGAGAATGAAATCGATCTGGTTGTGGGTCTTGTTGTCAGGTGAGTGCCATGTTGCCCTTCTGGATGTCTTATGCGGAAACAGTGTGTTGGCTAGGGTCATCTTGTAACTCGTGGAAAATTCTAGCAGTCTTTTTCCACGATCATTGGTCTCTCCCAGTTCAAAGCGTCCAACTGTACCAGGCCATAGGTCATATGCATCCTCGCCTACTTTGGCATTCAAGTCTCCCATGACAATCAGCAGGTCTTTTTTAGGAATGGACTTGATGGTCCTGTCCAGTTTTTCATAGAACTCTTCTACTGTCTCGTCGTCATAGTCAGAGGTCGGGGCGTAGACTTGGATGATGGAGAGGTTGTTTGGCCGTGCTGCAATACAAATCGAAATAATTCTGCTGTTGACTGGTGTGCAGCTAATCACTGATTTCACTCTATCCTTGTTGACAATGAGCCAACTCCATGTCTATGCTTGTTGTTATCCCCATTATGCCATAACTTTTGTCCCTCATCCGTGATGACTCCAAAGCCTGTCCATTTCACTTCTGCTATTCCTAGGATGTCCCACTTGTATCTAGAAAGTTCATGTGTAAGTTCTTTTATCTTTCCACTTGCATACAAAGTCCGTACATTTCAGGTACCAATGATGGTGTTGTACCGTGGATGCTGGAGTTGGTTGTGCCCCAGTAGCATACTTCTCACTCCCATAACCCTGCGGCACTGCAGCAGGAAGCGCGGTCGTTGGTGATCCGGGCCTCGACCGATCCGGCATGTCGATATGTCTATTTGTCCCTATCATAACAATTCCATGGGCTTAGACAAGTTTTGGCGGCGCCCATCTCCTCTCCAAAGCTGATTTTTCCTCAGGGCTTACTCCCAAAGATGGATTGCCGACCAAGGCTGGCGAGCTCCATCTGCCCACATGAGACAGGTAGTACTGGATTCCATGGTACCAGTAGCAGGGAAACCCTGACCTGACCAAACTCAACAATAGGTACTAAAAAAGTTCGGAGAAAAGTTTTCATGTTAGACATCTTCCATGAATTGATTTACCTTGAACTAACAGCCATGAGATATTTGAATGTTGCCTCGCTGGTTTTACAACCTCACACGAAATGCCATTCATCGTTTGCTCAGTGTTCTTATTAATTCCTGCTGGTTATACTTCCAACTGATACGGCTGGGCAACAGAATAAATTGTCCTTCAATACCCACATTTTTCACGGTTAGAAGCAAATAAAATAACTTATTTTCTAATATGTTATTATATTTTGTATAAGCACTCTCTAATATACACACTGCAAGATCACAACTCGTTACCAATCCTTTCTTCAGGTAAATTTTTAAAACGGAGTAAAAATTCCATGTTTGAGACGTTGTTAGATAATTTCTATGTTTCGACTTTGAATTCTGCTTTTTGCTTATGGCTCAGGACAAGGAAGTCTTTCGAAATAGCAAAAATAATTTCGCAAAATTTCGTTTCATAGGCACTTTAAGATACTTTCAGATACAATAATATATAATTTCATGCAGTTCAATTGCTACCAAGATAAGTTTATATTACGAAGTTTGTAATTCATATTGCAAGTTTAAGTAAAAATTTGAATGACTAGAATAACTAATAAGAGACATCGACATATTAAGAAAGGGAGATATCTTTCCGATGCAAAATCTTAGAAGAATTTTCTGAATTTCTAAAGAAAGCATTAATATTATAATTCATACCCTCCTACATCACTTCTATAGATTTAATTGTTACAATATGGCTTAAATTTTGCTTAAAATGTGCGAATTCCTGAGCGTAATTAATGCGAATTTGGTTCTTAGCAATGCCCTTAGCAACAATTATTTAACGCCAGTTATGCACATATTTATTTCAAGTCAGTTATTGAAACACGTTTTATTAATTTTACATGGATATTGCCCCTCATTTTTGGGCCCATGAGCTTCTGTTGAAATTAAAATATACGGGTGAAGTCTATAAACAAGTGGAACGATAACTTCGCCGCCCTCTTTAAAGCCAAGCATGATGCTTTTTTGCAGGTATAATCCATGCCCTCGCGCAGTTTTGTAGGTAATATCTAGGCAGCAGGACACCATAGAGACGCCCGGGCTTGTTCATTTTCCGCATGAAAAGTTATGTTCTTTTGTTTCTTAGCTAAGTTAAAATTTTTACCTTAAGTCAAAAATAACTGATAGGTTATTTTGCAATGCATTTTTACCGAAAACTAATGCTCTCGAGTCATGTAAACATTTTTCCGACTGAAAACAATATCGTCAACATCTTCAAATGACTGTTCGTTGCTGTATTCCGTTTTTAGCAGTTTGGTTTTTTAGAAAAATAAATCAGTCATGAAAATTCTGTTATATAACAATCTTAAAGTTGAAAACACGACACAGTTTTTCGAACATAGAATTAAGTCACACAAAATATTGTGAAAATATTGTCATGTATTATGTGTTTTCTATACTTGTGACAATGCACGAACCCAACACGCGTGTTTTATACTTACGAAAAATCACTCTAAAGCAGGCATATTGTCTTCGTTTTATCGTACGGCTTTTGTATCGTTCCAGTCTTTTTTTAGAGTTCCCTGAAATCTACAGGCGTCTGCAAGAAATGGAACAGAAGCACATTGAAAACACTTATTAAAATCGATTTAGTCTTTCAATGGTTTTGTTTTTTTTAATGCCTGGACGTTTAGGTTCGGCAAAAGAAACGCAGTTTTTTGTGGAAGCTTTTCAGCCGGCCATAAAGAGCCGTGTAGAAGTGATCATAACACAAGCTGTTTGGTTGTTGACTCATTGTCAAAGCCAAGTTAAGCAATCTCTGGCTTTGTGTTTTACAGTCTGTATCAGCCCACAAAATTTGAACTAAGACGTACCAGTAAACAAAGATATGTCCTATTAAACTACTGAGTATCGTTTACTACTCGTTAAACTACTATCTTTGCGGCATTACTGTTTGTACTTGAATGGTTATCTGAGTCGACTGCTGATGATATTAATGTCTCTAGTTATATGTGAACAAATAACATAGTTACTTTACAAGTGGTGCAATTTCATTTAGCTTCTCATCGACATAAGTATGAAATCAACAAGTCAGTCAGTCAGAATATGCCATATATAATCACAGTAATAATATCTTAAGATGTTCATTTTGTACTATAGTTATTGTCAGAAGCGCGTTTGAGTAAAATTTTAACTAGCACTTATTCATGAGATGTTAGACTTGGTGGTAAATGGAGTTTGTTTTTATTAACAGAGACTACGGATTTTTGTGCACGATGACGGTTGTTAGTAAAGGTGAATGAAACCAATTGACAAAATTCGCTCTTACTACGTACAGGGGGAATATGATTTTGTTCTTATATTAAAAGTAATTTCCCTCGCATTTCTATAATGCTATTCTCGTTAATGCACCTTTTTTTCCTATAGAAGATTACATGTTAAACTGGCAAACTTGAATGAATAATATGTTTAATTTGCAAACTGAACGCGTCTTTAAAACTTGCAAATAGAATATTACTTTATGATTTAAGACAAAAAGATTCCAAGTTTCCAAAATTTTAAGGTTCTACTTAAGATTCCAGATTGCAAGATTACAAAGTCCAGATTCTATGTTTTACAACTTACATTTGTAATATATAACTGTCTACAACAAGATATAAGAGAACAACTGATTGTTCACACTATAGCTTGTGAAAAGTTATATTAATTATATTTGCAATGAAATCAACGAATGTTCACCTTATGATACACAACTGGCTAAATCCTAATTATCAGAATTGTGTGAGGTTAATTAACAGTAAATGTATAAAACAGTTATGGTTGATTCATGTTTCGATTGAAAAGTTTTTTTAAAGCTTTGTAATGTTTTTGAATTTTGCATTTCCTAGTTATCACATCTGCAATTATTATATAGGAAGTATTGTTAGCCCTTTTAAAAACTTGACAAACTCTATGTTTTGGTACTCTACGTACTCTCCATGAGAATTAACGTCAGCAACAAGCTGATTTTCCTTTATATTTTTTTATGCTTGACAAGAAAGGAACTACAGCAACTTATTTAAAACAGTGCTAAAATTATGGATTACAAAATTTGTCTCATAAAACGTCATTCAAATCAGCAGAAAACATTGAGTGTTCTTATGCACATTAACAACTTATGTTTTGATTTTTCTTATCTTCAGCAGAAAAGTGGTTTTGCCAATACAGTAAAACAGAAAACGTCTTCCTATTCCTAACTACATTTATTGACATCGTATAATTTTTCAACAGGATGTTGTAAAACTAAGATAGAATTTCTACAACATCAAAATGATCGTGCCTAAAGGTGTCGATCTTCTCGAAGTACAAGCGGAGAAAAAAAATAATTTAAAAACAGATATTCAAGATGCAATATGTGCTCTAATGAATACAGAAGGCGGGCGTATTGTGGTGAAAATCGACGAAGGTTGCACGGTTAATTTTCGTACTTTTGAACAGAATATTCGCGAACTTCTTTGTGTGAGCAATGTTTTAAAATATGTTTCCCTCAACTATTGTTTGCATGAAATCATATTAAACGTGAAAAAGAGTGAAAAGCTAGTCACTGTCAACTATAATATGTATTTACCCACGCAGACGGAGGTTGTACAATTAGGTGAAAATGACCCACGACAGAATATCATTGATATTATTGAAAGGAAGTTTGTAGAAAGTACAGTCGACAAGGAAAATCATATTAAACAATTTGTTCAAGATAAAAAAGTACTATGCAACGAAAGTGAAATAACTCAGTTTAAGAAATTTGAAAGTAAAAAGGAAACAGCATTTGTTGAAAAAATGAAAAATAACAAGTTAACGAAATATGTTTCTGCTTTTGCTAACCACAGAGGAGGTCACATTTATTATGGAATCAATGACAAGGGAATTGTTAAAGGAGAAAAACTTTCAGAGAGCATAAAAAAAATAAAAGATGATCTGTCCACAGTAATGAAGGATACGTTAATATGGACGACAGAGAAAAAAACTCCTGTGTGTGGTACTGACTGGGAGATGTTCGCTGAGCATGTTCATGACAATGATGGTAATAATGTTGACTCCCTTTACGTTATCATTGTGTTTATAAAACATCAATTTGGAGGAGTGTTTACGGGTGAGCCCAATTCTTCTTATATGAGGAATGACGAGGTAAGCTATTTTTTAAGTTTGAGGTGATATAATTTACTTAACTATAAAGTTACATTTGGAAAAGACAATGAATAAAAACCTATTCCAATAGTAAAGTAAAGAAATTGTCAAAAATTTATTCGAAATTAAAAACATGATCCACATTCATTAATTCTTATAGTGGAAATAAAAATATTTCGTTTGAAGAAAAGCTTTTTAAAATACTCTGAAATTAGTTGAAAAACGTTTGTAGTGAAAGAGAAAATCGGAAAATTGGAAATGTCGTGATGGTTGCCCAATGTGAACACAATCATATGCTTCTTGGGGAGACTCGTTGAATCGTGTTATAGTCAATTGCATTCCACTTCTCGTGATTGATCGGAATTCTTGATAAAAAGACTTAACGAGGACGTTTCTGTTGTCGGATGTAGGACTAAAGAATCGTAAGGCAACCTATAGTCACAGTGAATGTTCTTTGTCAATTATTTATTTTGGATTGCACGCTTCCACTTTGATTGCGCTGCATTTATATGAAAGTGTTTTTAAAAGATTTTAGTATTTCATTTCCGTTAAAAAATTTGGTGTGAAAACATTTTCGACTTCCCTACGCACTGGTCGAGATTTTCTTCAACTAATTTCCGGTTTATGACAAAATTTCTCATTTCCAAATTGAGAATTTTTTATTTCCGCCATATTATAATTAAGAATGTTCACCATTACTTTAAATTTTCAATTAGTTTTTAAAGATTTATTTATTTATGTTGCATAATTTACTCTTATAAAAGAGTTTTTTGTTCATTCTTTGTGCTGAACGGATTGCCATACATATCATTTTAATATAGAAATATAATTCCATACTATTCATCCAAATCTCTAGCACGTGAAATGGATTTTGATAATGTTATAATCTTATTCTGGCAGCTGTCATTAAGTAAGCAAACGGTACAAATCTTTTACAACATTTTGGGCCAGAGCATTTACAACTCCTTCAGCGTTTAGGATTTAGTATGTAGAAAGTGCACTAACTATTCTAGTACCCACATTTGCAATCGTTTGCACAGATACATAAAACAACAAAACTATATTCATTTATAGCGCATACGCCAATCATTTTTTTTATATATTTTATAAACTGAGACACTGATATTTCAAACCTGTCAACAAAACTTGAATCACTCTTCATTACCGTAGCAAATATGTCGACGAGCATGAATATCGTTCAGAAAGATAATGTCAGTACTATTTTAAAGCTACAAAAATCAATTAGAACCTTCTTTAATATGAATATACGACGTTGTTATTCTTGTGAAAAGTCAAATTCAGAATTGAGTTGGTTGTTAAAGCCATATTATGTATACATGATAATCAAGCGTTTCATTTCGTAAAGAATTTCAGACTACATTCACACACAAACCAACTTTTTCTTCCATTACAAAAAAATTAAAGATGGGACGCTGAAATGACATGCTCATGTTCATGACATTGTGCATTGAATTCTAACGCTGAATCATTTGTAAATACCTTTGTTAATATGAAAATACGACGTTGTAATTCTTGTGAAAATCAAATTGAGAGTTGAGTTGGTTGTTAAAGCCATATTAAATATACATGATAAACTTACTCATTCTGTACGCTGTTTTTATCATTTTTATTAATGGTATGTGTTTTCATCTCTCATAATTCAAAGCAGTTTTGTGTTCACAAAAAGAATAAACAATAAAAAAGAACTCCACAACATTTGGTAATTTTATTCCGCGTTTCATCTACAATTTCGGGTTTTATCTTCAATTCCGTCTTTTATCCCCAATTCCGTTTTGCGTTTTAACCCCATTCCGTTACACTTCCGCATTTCGGATCCGCATTCCGCTCCGCGTTTTATCCCAAGTCATAAAAAACTGTTCTTCTTCATACAATTTCGTGATGTCACTTGTCACATAAAATGAGGTCAATTGTTTTGTCAGACAGTAGAAATATATTTTTACGATTTTTTACAACTTATGCATTGAATATTTTCTAGAAAGGGTGGCAGGTTGCAAGAATGGAAATCGGTCCATGGTGGCAGAGATTTATAAATTCAAAAAACGACCTCACTACTGTAGAGCCAGTGTTCTGGAGTTCGAAAGACAAACAAAACTTTTTTGTCAAATTCAGTGAAAAGCTTGTTGATTACAGAGATGCTGGGGATCTAAAAAGTTTTGACAAATTGTGTAAGTTTGCAACGGAAACTTTTCCTGATATGAATCCCCATTTCCCTGCTTTGGCTGGAAAAATCACCATTGCATATAAAGCTGGAGACATTAGGAGTGCCAAAATGTATATAGATCAATATAATGATTTATTGACCAAGTGTGAAAACGACAATCTATTTTTCGAAAGTCGAATATGTCTTTCTCAAAGTCTTGTTTATCGGAAAGAGAAACAGTCTTACGAAAGTTATAAAATGAGTAAAGAAGGATATCAATTATCTCTGCTATGTGAGGCTGGACTTTGCCATTTATGGATTTGCATGGAACATAGTATGAACGCTGCTATATGTGCATTTCAGCATCTAAATGATAAGAATTGTTTTCAGAAATTCCGTAATGAGTCTCTTCTATTTCTTGATAAAACCGCTGCAGTTGCATCTCAACTTCTAGAGAAAGGTGTCCCTTTTCGAAGGTCAGACACTTATCACAAACTTTGTATATATAAAGCCCTGGTGTTGCTGAATTTTTCTATTACTGGGGAATTTTCCAGCATTGCTCCAAGAGAAATGGATGTATCAAAGGCAGCAGACTTAATAAAGTGCATATATAAAGCAGAAATGAACGGTGAGATGTTAACCCCTTTGCGGAGAATCGAGCATTGTTTAGTTCAATCTGATTATTTTAGACGTCTTTCTGAACTCAATAAAAAAGAAGAAAATACGTCACAAATGCGTGAAATAGCTTTAAAGCATGCACAGAATGCTAAAGAGGAGGCAAAACTAGTTAAAATTAAAAACATGGAGGAGTATGCAGACTATCGTTTAAAGGATTTGCGCAATGACATGGCTTACACGGAAACAACACCAGAATTTCAATTGTTTTAGGTATTAAATTTTTTTATGTCTTTTTTTTTTAAAGATTTTTGCATAAGTCATAAATGTAGCTGAATACAATAACGTCGTTGCTAAACATTGTATATGCAAGTTAATACGCAAAACATTCAACCTGGCGTGAACAACCCTAGGAACATGAACTGATGTTTGCGTACGGGAAGTATCCTCTTTTATAAGGGTTAATTGGTTATTATTTAACTACTTATCCAGTAATTGAATTATTATTTAAAATGCTTAAAATTATTGATATTTATTAGAATGTGTAATTTAGTTAATAAAATAACATGTGTAAAACTAACGATCGTGTTCAGACTAGTCGATGCCATTGTTTGGATCAGGTCAGAAAATCATATCTTAAACAATAAGTTTGAACTCAATGTTGAATGGTGTAATAGTTTCTGTATGAACGTTATCTTTTGCTTATAAAACCAATTATATGCATCTTATTAGCAGTAGTTAAAATCGCAGCAATGTCTCGTGCAAAGGCTCTTTTCCACTCATCGCAAAATGTTCTTGCTGCGAGCATGCGAGTCTGTTCGCGCGATCAACAAATTTTGCTCAAATAATTTAACTATGCTGCAATTCATTGTCAGCTCGCTGCGAGTAACTTGCGGGCAGTCGCAGCGAGCTTGCGAGTACGTTTCGCGATTGGTGGAAAAGAAGCTTAAGAGTTGGCACCTATTTTTCTAGTTCATGATCAACCTAGCTGATCTATTTTGATGTTCTTGCAGGATCGTGACAAAAAACGCGCTTATATTTACAGTTATCCTTATGATGGTAATAAAGTACTCAACGCTTTGAAGCAAAATTATTTAACCATAAATGATTTTCGAATTCTATTTCTCACTACACTTCTCGTGATTGAAACATGCATTTACATGAAATGGAAACATATTTGTTGGGTATTGTGAAACTGAAGAGTGTGATTTCGATATAAATATGTCATTTTAATGCTATTAACTGATAAATAATGAATGAAAAACTTTGCAAAACTGAACCTAGTGGCATTTGGTCTTTGTAGAGCCTTTTTATTTAGATGATTAAATAAACTGTATCAGTTCAAATGTTCTTTATTAAATTCCTTACAATACTATCCTCGTTGGCTTTCATCTTATTACTTGTAATTTCATTGGATGACATATGCGAACATTGTAACAAGCGTAAGAACTTCAATTTAAATGAACTTTCATAGATGCAATGCCAAAGTAAACGTCTCCAGGAAAATATGAATGGAGACTTGAAACAAATGCTCTTTGTTTTTATTTTATTTGTAACGGTTTTTTAGCTCTTTCCAATATTGTTGCTATTGTTGGTGATTTCATCATCGGTCGTGTTCCTTGATATGTTTTGGTGATGTAGATATGTGCAAAAACATTACACTAGGCCGTATTCTGTATCAAGAAAATGTGCTAAAAAATGATTTCTAAATGCCGAAATTCATGACTACATACAAATCACATAAAACTACTTATTTTTACTGACTGAATATGATTTAAGTTGTTTGCATCTCTTGAAATTGCAATCTTTGGTGTTTCAGTACTCCAAAGTTTCATAATATTCGTTTAAAGTTTTACCTGTCGCCATCTTGTTTTATTTGTGAAACTGCTGACAATATAGCTAAAATTGCGGGTCCACTGTTGCATGATAGCCACTACTATCATCTAATATCATTTATAAACTATTATTATATTATACTATATTACTAAGCATTCCATATTTTATATTTTAACTTTAAAATCCATTTTTCAATGTCATTACTAATTAGGACATATCTTTATGCGGGATGTTAAAATTGTTTGTCGGACACAACAAAGTTCATCAATTTGTCTTACCTTCATTCAGGAAAAAGAATCACGAAAGTAAGCTTTTGAAAGTTACGATGGCTCCGTTATAGGATATGTTTTGGTGATGTAGATATGTGCAAAAACATTACACTAATTTACAAGTCACTTTAGCAGAGTTTCATCTACTTTACATGTATCTACCCATGAGCAGTCCTTTATGAGACATTTAAGACTCTACAAAGTTGCAATATATTACAGATACACAATTATAAAAGTGTTTTGAAAAAATATCATTGTACATACTAAAGCAAAGAAAATGACGTTTGATTTGTTTATTGAACGCATTCCAGGAGTCGATATTTTTTAACGTTGATTTTAACGAATTCCAAATGTCAACTCCTTTACTATAAAGAGTATGTTTTACATAGTTTGTTCTTTTATGCCGATTGTGAAATTTGTAAGAGTTTCTTGTGTTTTGTTGATGGAGTCATTACTAGTTACAAAAATCATCAAAATTTTCCGAAAGATTTTTGAGATGGTGAAAACGAAACATAAACAAAGCAGTTAGAAAATTGTTATTTTAAAGATATCAAGAATGCTTAATTCTTTGAAAATCTGCTTGGTGTGGTACCAAATATGGAATAAAAGCCATTAATCATACAGTATTTTTTGGAATATGCATTATTTTATGAATTCGTGTTTCGTAGGTACTAAGTGCTACCCCAAATTAGGTTGCCATAGATGGGATATGGATAGACCAAAGCATAGTAGATAGGTTTTAATGCCTTTATGTTTATTGAATGGCAATTTTTTGCTACTATGCAAGAGGCTCTAATAATTTTTTTCGCAACTCGAGCGATATGGTCTTTCTATCTAAATGTTCGTCAATTAATATACCAAGAAAATTTGTATACTCTTAGCTTGCTCAACAGATAATTATCGATATCTGCAATCATGACGTCATATCTACAGATAATAGTTTCTACAATTATTGACGCCAATAAAAGCCGATTTTGAAAAAAAATGAAATAAGCGATCTTTACCTCAGTTTCTAAACAAAGTAAGCGAAAGCTTTTGTTTAAAAAGCATGAGGAAAACACTATGTAATGAGTTAAGTTAGAAATTTGGTACTACAAGTGACAGTTCGTATATATAGAAAAGCTCAGACTTCAAACCATGCAAGTTTATTGGAACCCTTTACCCATCTCCACAAGAGTGCCAACAAATTCACCTTTTGAGAAAAAACTCAAAATTTTTTTCTGCCAAAGATTAAGCAAAAATTATCAAAGTGAAAATTTGCAGCTGAGGACAGCTTAATGCCATTAATGTTTATTAAGCATTTAACTAGACTATTATCATAGCTAACAGTCCTTTGGCAACAACAATTTTAGAAGCATCAATCTGCTTACCATACGCCATATTGACAAAAATCGCATCACAAACTCGTAAAAATTGACTTTGATATATTACATTCATGCATACACTTCACTTGTCCTTTACTTACGATTTTGGATATAAATTACTGTTAATAAAACTCAAAATAATGTAGGCTTTCTTTTGAACATCAATTACTGAAAGGTCGCTCGCGAGATCGTTTTTGCCAAGCATTTACAATCTATCCATAAATTTTTCGCCCTCTTGAAAAAATTCACAGTTTGGGGAGCAGCATTCATGTCAAAATACGAATTTGTAAAAGATTTCCATAACATCCATCTGATTGTAGTTTAGTTCCTTTCATGCTTGTAAAAATTACTATGAAACGATTAAACATTCAATTCAGACAGTAAGCTTGACTATGTTAGTTCAGTTGGCTATCAGTCGAAATCCGTCAAACTAATCACAATAAAACAAAAATTCAAATGAACGAATTGTAAGATAGCAATTAGACTCACTTATACGTCCGGCCACCCATCTTATCGGTCGAAACCATTCCAGACTATCCACTGATCTGGCCATTGACCAATAAAACAAGCGTTTTTGGCGTTCATAGACTCCTTTAACAGTCGAACAAGTCAAGCCACCCCGCTTATCACTCAGTTATCCCAGGTCAATTAAAATTCAACTGATCTCGTTACCAACGAGATATTCATTGCATTAGTCATTAGTTTTCAATAATGAATAAAGCTGGATTTTTATCACGAAGTAAATGCAATAATAAAGTAAGAATGATTAATGAAATTTTAATTAAAATGAATAGGTAATTTTTGAATTTCAAACATCAGTCGCGCGACGGATTTGACATTCTCTTGATCCGCCCCTGATTCATGTGAGCGATATACTTCATTTTATACAGTAGCGGATTTAGGGGTAGTCACAACCAGCATCAGCAGGCAACATAAATTAAAGCTGCTTAATTTTAAATTCAAAGCACTTTCAGAAAAGCACTATTGGTCTTGAATTTCTAAAGAATATAATTTCCCCAATGGACTCGTCTCTGAAGGTCTTAGAAATGAAAATATATTCCAAAATGTTCAGCAGTAATTTATTTTGATTAGCCCTAGATCCGCCACTGATTTTATACTAATCAAACGGATCAATGTAGCCGTCGTCAAAATTTCCTTTACACCATATTACATAAAAGTAATCTATTTGACAAATATCCTAACTGTTTATTGTTATGTAAAGGAAAATATCTTATACCTACTGTGGAGCAAAAATCCATTAGTGGAAGGGGGGGTAATGTAAGGCTTGGGGGCCTTTGATGCCACAGTTATATAGTTAAAAAGGACCCTGATAGTGAATGTACAAGTAAAGACACTTGAGTACTTGCAATGTAAGAGCAATAAAGAAAGCAAATAATGATCGTAAATATGGGTAACTCAAATTGATGAAAATAAAATTAAAGTATCTCAAATAATGATGATTAATGAATATATTGAAAATGATAAAATTTTCTCATGAAAAAATATCATTGCTCGTGAATTATGAATACTCATCATTCGTTGTATAAGCGTGAAAATTATCTACATTGTTTTGCTTTTGTTGGTTTCTTGTGAATCAATGGAAAATGATTCATCCAAACTTTTAAGAGAAAGAGCAGTGAATGTGATGTCGAAAAATGCAAAAAATGAGGTGAGTATTTTGGTTATTTTATAGACTTGAGTGTTGACTGTTTATAACTTAGACAATAGAAAGATTCTCTTACGTACAAGGCTTTATAAATGGAAGGGATCCCAGAATAATTTATGTTTTTTTTTGTACCATTTTGCTCTTTTCAAATCAATCATTTTATACAAATTAAAATATACACACTTCAGTCTCATTTCTATGGATGAAGTGAAATGAGACTGAACTTTCGAAATATGCATGGGAACTTAAAGAAAAGGGTAATCCCTATAATATCACATGGTATATAGTAAAGTGCTCTCCAGTAAGGAAAGCAGGATGTAAGTCATGTTGTCTGTGTTTGGAGGAGAAAATGAATATTATAAACATAAACCATAAGAATCTCCTAAACAGAAGATCCGAAATGTTTGCCAAGTGCCGTCACAGGAAAAACTTAGCGCAAAGTGCT